CCTAGGTCAAAAAGGTTAAGAACCCCTGCTTGTCAAAAAGGTTATAAGAACCCTTGCTTTAGATGGCCTTCGTCCTGCGTCTCATCCAGTGAGAGCCTTTGTTGTTGAGGCGTCGCATGGCAACTCTCAACCGCTCTCATGAACCCAGTCGAGCTGCAGCCGGGGTAGAAACATGGCAGAAGTCACCTGATTCTTCAGGGCATTTTTTATTTTAAAACTTTACTGAACGCTGAACTGTCTCACCATTGGAGCAGTCACAGTTGTCAGCCAAAAAAWTAATTAATTAAATAATTTAGAAAGGATAAAAAGAAAAGCAAAAGGAAAAAAACTGTCACACATGGAGTGTATTGCAACATACAAACCTACACGTTCCTTCACAGTAGAGTGATCGTTTCTAAAAAAATATCTCGAGATTAATTGCGATTGAAAATTTGAATCTATGCCCAGCACTAATATTTACACATAAGCCACATACAGTTACAAACTTTCCCCAGCATACAATCATTTTCCACACATTCTACATGCTGAAAGATGTTCACTACACATCTCTCCTGGTGATCTTTTTCTTTTGGCTGTTCCCTGTTCAGCGGTCACCACAATGAGTCRTCCTCCATATYACTTTGTCCTCACTTCAGCTACCTCCATATCTTCTCTAACTGCATCCATGTATCTCCTCATTTGTCTTTTTCCTGGCAGCTGCATCACTAACATCCTTCTAACAATATACCCACTGTCCCTCCTCTGGACATGTCCAAAGTACCATCTCAGTCTGGTCTCTCTCACTTTACCTCCCTGTGGTTCAAACTGGGCTGTACCTCTGATGGTCTCATGTTGATATCCACTTGATATTTTTTAAGTTGTGTTTACGCAACAATTATAATAATTTTGATCCAACCTTCTGAAACTGTGCCTAGTTTGTAAAACAGTACATTGTCAGTCTTTATTCAAAAAGTGTTGCATTTCATACAGTTTTCTAAAAATAATAAATTCCTTTTTCTGGGAGTTCTGACTGCCAGATTCAGCTTGATTTAACCAAACTCCACCTGAATAATTAAATCTGAGTTACCAAATATATTAACTCAGTCTGGTTTATAACTGAATTAAATTGAATCAGAACAATTACGATAATGTTAGTTTTTCCTAAACCGATTAAGGCACAAGGTTTGATTAACCTTAGCGATTGTTTGGCTTGGCCTAGTGTWTTTGTTTAAGTGCCAAATTTAACCTCTATTTTCCTTCATCCCAACAAGATGATTACATTAATAAAACATGATTAAAAAATGATTTAATACAGTTTGTGTTTGAAATTTTACATAATTGTGTTCTCTTCAGACATGAGAGCTTAAACAGCCATCATCAGGCACAAATGTTCAGAATTTAATGTAGCAGGAAGGTAGAAACATTTCATACATTTAACAAATGAAGGTGAATATGTACCTCGTTTCATAAAAGCTTTGATAAACCAGTCAGGTGTTTGTTGCTTTCAGTTCATGCACATTTGACATTCAGTTTAACAAGCTTGACTGTTGGCCAGCAGATGGAAGTAGAGTCACTCCAGTGCGGCAGTGGTTTGAGTTGACAGCACAGAAACTGGTGCTGGGTGTGAGTGAAGGGTTGTTGATGAGGATGTGTTCGGGTAACGGCGTGGACGGACGTCTGTACTCCATCGTAGAGCTGTTCCATGTTGCCTCGTTGAAGACGGCGAAGYGGGTGCCCAAACGCTGTCCGACAACATTGAGCGTCATTTTGCGCACCGATCCAGACAACAGAAAAAACATGATGGGATCCAGACAGCTGTTCAGGACYGAGATTAGAAGCATAATCTCGTTGGTGTGGTCCACCATTTGCAACTGAGCACAGGACTTAACATAGCCAAGCTGGGTGTAGATGTAGAAAGGGCGAAAGGTGTGGTAGGGCACAAAACAGATCATRAAGACAAACAGAACAAAGAAGGACTTCTTGGCAGTTTGTTTATATTTGTTTGCATTGGGAAAGTCCGGCTTGTTTTTGGACACATGAAACAGCAGAGAAGCAATTTTTGCATAGGAAACCACAAGGAYAATGAAGATGAGCCAGAACAGCAAMACTASTAGAAAGTTAAAGTAGGCTTTCCAGTTAATTTTTTGCCGGTAGTGAAAACATTTGCCATTAAAATTTTTATCCCCTGGCGTGGAGATGATAATCAGAATCATTGTTAGAGACAAAGTCCACAAAATGCCACAAGCCACCCAGCTCCATGGCTGTCTGCRTCCCAGCAGCCTGAGCCGCATGCCCCTCCGGGATCTGCCTTTCCCACTCAGCCTCAAATAGCGATCCAGACTGATGARTCCCAGTAACACTATACTCATGTACATGTTCATGTAAAAGACACTTCCCACCAGATTACAAGTTACAGATCCCAGCACCCACTTGTCTCCATTGACATGGTAGAAGACCCTGAAGGGTAGGCACGCCAACAGGACCAGATCGGCTATGGCGCAGTTGATGAGGAACACCTGGACTGAATTGCGACTGGAATGCAGGAAAAGGAAGACCCACAGAGCGAACAGGTTACCCACCAGCCCAAAAACGAAAAACAGGGAGTAAAAAATCACCAGCGGCAGATGAATGGACGGATCGTCTARTGTACAGTTTGGATAGCTGGGGGTGGAAAAAGAAAAAGAAGTGTTTGCCGTAGAAGCAGAAGTGGTTGGAACCAAACTCRTAGCAGAAGCTTTTGAAAATATTGAAGTGGTTGTGAGAGAAGCAGCAACRTGGAGTGTGGTCATTGTGTCTGAGGTTTTGACGTTTCACTGGTTGTTCGGCGAAATGCTCTGCAAAAAAAATAAAGATAAATGCACAGTCAGCTCATAGTTGCGTGACATAGAAACACCTCAACCAAAACCTGTAAATGTTCCATACTTTAATGCGTAATGCTCAGACTAGTGAGTAATATGTTGGTTAGTTATAAAGATCAGACATTTAACACCCCCTAATCCTTTTTGAAATGTCAATGTCACAGAAATTGTGATGACATAGGGGGAAAGCACCATTTACCGTAAGTAGCAATTTTARTCGACTTAATTTTAATAGTTTAAGCACTGGAGCTGAAACTTCGAAACTGGGATTTATGCTTTAAATTGAGTTGGAGTGTGACAGGTGAATTTAGGGAGTTTAGTTCTTATGCAGTCTGGACAAATTTGAACTTATCTTTATTTCAGGTCTGGAAACGTATAGAAAACATTTGTTTCTAGACTTTGTTGAAGTACAATTAAAAAAAAAATAAATTTCTAAAAGTTTTTCAAATAAGCATTTATCTTAAACCACACAGAAAAGACAAAATAACTGAATTTATTCATATACCATTAAGATTGCTGATTTGCCGAAGCTGAAATAGGGAACACAGATCCATTCTTTTTTGTGACATACCATGAGTATTGTCTTCAACAAAAATGKCATGTTATTCAGCCAAAAAGTAAGTCTTTTTAAAGAAATTGGTCATAATTTCATTTTGGGCAGTAGGAACTTTGGTTTTAATATTAAAATGTGGAACCAAACTTGGGTATTGAAAGAAAAAGAAAATGGGCCTCATGCAAGAACATGTTCGTATTCTTATCCTAAATTTCTCTTACTTTTGTTCGTACAAAGGGTTCGTACGAACATGTCACGTC